ACCACATTTTAAAAGAGTGAAGGTACAAGTGTTATGATTGTGTATGCAAACTGCTCACAGGAAAGCTAGTTGTGTGTGTCAATGCATTGCATATGAGGGCTGCAAGCTCTGTTAGGATAGTTATAACTGTAGAGTTTTGTAGTAACTTTTACTTTAAAAAGTAGAATACACATGGAATTTACTAGCTAATCATTACTTTTTGTTTCCCATATAGCACCCAGATAAGAGATGGTCTTCACTGTTTTGACAATTTCTGTAAGAGAAATCCATAATCTGTTTAAGTTCACATAAAAATAGTAAAAAACAGGCAGACATGGAGCAGGATGGGAGGGACATGAATGATTTACTGATTTTTTTAAAAAAACAGACAAAGAAATATGTAAAAAAAATCTTGAGAGAGTTGAGGGTGAAGTGTATAGTTTATTTTTATTGTTCAACTATAGTTAACTTTAAAAATGAAAAAGTTAGAACCTCAGAAAACTTGCACTTAAGATTCCAATACAACCTGAATGCTATCTCTCTTCCATTATTGCTGAAGACATTTTTATCCCTGCTTACTCATTGCTTTACCATGAATGGGACACAGATCTTTACTGTTCCCACAAAACCTCTCTAAATAGTGGTGTAAGACCTCTGAATACTTTGTGAGTCTTCTTGTGGTGCACAGGGTTTTATATGTTTTAGAAGCTGCCAGAAACCAGTCAGAGAGATCATATGTTTATAGCTAGGCTTTGCATATTTGTGTACATTAGTAAATACAGTTATGAGGATTTCTCCATGTGGTTTCTTCATATTGTTATTGTGGTAAAAGAGCAAAAGACACAAGTGGCCCTTGATCTTCAAAACCACAAAGAGGAGATATCTGACCCTTCATTACTCCACCCTCCTGATAAAAGCCAGAGATTACATCTCACATTTTAATCATCACAAATAGTCCAAGGTCAACCATCTCTCTGCCATTCATCATCCAGTATAAGTGACAGGACTCCAGTGAATCCCCACTCAACCTTCTGATACAAGTCAAAAACACCCTCTTGTGGGTACAAGTTAGAGACCTATCCTGTCTACCCTAATCTTTGTGAGGAAATGCAGGTTTTGCAGTATAGCCTAGTAAGCCTATAATAACATGAATGCAAATTTGGGCAGAATAAATGGCTGTAGCTTTTTCATTTGGTGCACCCAGAAGACAATATTGTCATATTTCACCCTCTCAACATAGCAGACTTATGTTCATGGCAATTGGTAGTTTGTGCAGGATGGCAGGCAAGGGGGTACAGCAACTAGGCAGCTGTTAAAGCTAATTGTCAATGTAATAGCTTTCAAAACATTAGCTACCTTAGCACTATCATTCAGAAGTTTGTTTGTTTTATCTGCGAATGCTGAAGAACCTGAAAGTGTGTTTGGAGACAATCATCAAGTGTTACTACTGATGTTAAATTTCAGCGCCTGCTAAACTTGTACCCACAATTCTATTCTAGAGTTAACCAGCAAGGGAGGAAGGGAAGAACACAACTTCACTCCTCTGCTAAAAGCAGATGGAGAGCTCCCCCTCCTTTCTGGCTCATACAGGAAGAGGTCTCCATCCTGTTTCAAGCTGACTTAACTACTGGATGTAACCATAATATTCCTTAATCATTCATGAGTTCATATGGGATTTATAACAACAGATTTGAAATATAAGATACCAGGAAAATCATTCATTTTATGCACCAGACAGAGCATAAGAGTGTTCCACCAAGACGAGCAGGCTTTTGACCAAGGTGAGTGGCAATACCTGTTGTTTATCTGAAAAATATTTGGATTTGGTCCCAACTATACTGAATGGGTCAGTGATTTACCACCCTGATAGTGCTCACCTTTCATCTAGGGACAAAGGACCTGTTTTATTTGTGCTTTGGAAGCTGATGGCATTGGTATGTTTTGAAGCTGCTCTGACAAAGAATACTGTTCTCCTAACAGACCACTCTCTTGATGGACTTTCTAAGGGCCTGTTTACACAGATACTTAGTATGCAGCAAGCTTGAGTTAAATATACAGTGCTTTAGCCTGCTGAGTACTAAGGGGCCATGTGGACCCTGCTGCTGTGCATTAAAAGTTCTTTAGTGCATTTTGCATTCTGCTCTTTCAAATATCAGTGGATATTTTCTGTAATGTAAACAACTTGTAGTCTCTATTTAATGTGTCCTAAGGCATCTTGAAAAGACTTCTGTCAATAAACAAATTCCATTTTTTTTCTTGAGTCATGGAATACTTTTATATGGAATAACCCCAAATTCAAAATTAGGGAAGAAATATCCTTCTATCTAGAGTAGGAGAACAAAGTTATATTATCTCTTGGTCATTTTACTATAAATAGCCAGGAGCTACAACTGTCTATATGACAACTATTTTTCTCCATCTCTCTCTCTCATCTTATCTACTATGAACAATTGCATGATTAGATAAATGCTTGTGCTTGGATTGAAATAATGCAGATGTTATACTGCTAGAAGCCATTCCAAAATATACAGTGTCTAGGAGAGTTTAGGAATAGTTAAACTCTCACCTCACTTATCTGTTAACAAATAAAGTTTAAATTAAACAGGAATAAAAGATAAAATTGGAAGGTGAGTAAGAATATTCCTTCCCTAGCATTTGGAAAATTTCCAGTTCACTAGGATCTGATCCAAAGCCCACTATTGTCAATGGACAGACTGTTAATGCTCAGTCTTTTCCTAAAATAGGGTCCTAAACCAAGACAATGGGATGCAAGAGAAAATGTAAAAGTCTAGACTTTCAGATAAGTTTAAAAAAAAATCTGGAGTTCCAGACACATCAAGCCTTATATTTTAATCCACTTATTATTCCTATATATTAATATAAAATATATATTGAAGTCGCATAGCCTTTACTCATAACTCCATCTCCAAAGCTTTGAAATCTATTTTCCAGATTCTGATCTTTCTCCATCTTTTCCCTTTGTGCTTAAAGTGTATTTCTAGATGTAACTCTAGAGAGTTTTACTGGAAAGTACAACTTGCCCAAAGGTTGGCCAATCTTAATATTATTATTTCAGAGAAGAAATTCACTTAATGGGAAAAACAATATAATATAATATAATTTTAATGTCCTGTACATTAACATTTTTTACTGAGACAGATATGAAAACCATTTAAAATAGAAAAGGGAAATTATGGAAAAGTGTACTTTTGATCTCACCTCAAAAGCACACTTCAAATCTGTAATATATATGTACAGTATAATGCAAAATTCTTCGTAAATAACACTTCAGGGGTCAATTGTGCAATTTTACTGAGAACAGCAATTTTTTAGTAAAAAAAAAGTCATTAAACTTTCATTAAGCCTATTATAAACCTCTAACTTTCACATAAAATATTCTAAAAAAAATATTTTAGATACCAGGAAAATCTAATGTGTGTGCCTCTTACATCGATAGCTTGGCTTTGTGCAGCAGGCTAAATCACCTGTTTGTTTTAGGTATGTGCAAACCCAAGGTAGACAAGTAAATCAATCAGAGTTGTTTTTCCTGGTGTCTTCAAAACATAATCTAGCTTTAGTGCAGAATCGTTCTTTGCTAGATCTGCCTCAAGGAGCATTATAATTAAAGACATACTTATCACTGCTGAGAGTATAGTACGTATGTGTATGGCACAGTGTGGAGTTCCATTTCTCAAGCTCAAAGGGACTTCTACTTTATTTTTTTGTTGGTTGTTCAAAATGTTGATTATATTGATGCAATGCTGCAGAGTGTTTGGCAATGGGATGTAGTGTGCATTCCTGAATGCCTTAAAAAGAAAAAAAGAAAAAAGCCCAGCCTTTCTTTATGCCTATGTGTAGACCACTCATGCCTATACTTTTAGCACAATATAGACATGATCCTCAAACAAATACACACCTGAGTCACTTTAAACTAAATGTCTGAGCTTTTCAAATCATTTTAGCCATACAGGTTATATAGTTGTTTAATTTCAGTGGGTGTTCTTGGGTCTAAATGCCCTGCCTGGGTTGGAAAATCTCAACCAAAGAGACTGGTCGCTGAGTAAAGTTTCCCTCGCCTGTCAGTGTTTGCAGGATTTGGTCCTCTCACAAGTGTACCCAACACTTTTTGGTGCATGTCAATTCTGACATGACTTTGTCCACATGAAAATATGCAGGGACTGTGCCTACCAGGATGCACGTGTGCCCTGATCAAATGTAAAAATCCTTAAGCAGCTGCCCCAGTCTCAAAATGGACCATTATAGTTATTTATTGAAATGACAGTTGCACTTATTGTGCTAGGCACAGTACAAACATAGGAAGGATGATCTCTGCCTTCAACAGTCACAGCCCAACTGGATGAGCCCGAGGGAAGGGCAAGGATTATTTCCCTTAAGACGTTTTTAAGAGGCAAAATTAGCCCCCTGCTCGCCTCTTCCCTCCGCTACCTGAGCCAGGAAATCCGTGCTGTTCCCCTGGGTCACAAAAGGGGCTGGGTGAGCCGAGGGCATCAACTCCCCGAGCATCTTCTCCCGGGGGCGTAGGCAGCCGCGGAGGTGGAGCGTGCCCGGCTGAGGTGCGGGGAAGAGAGCCTGGAGGTGGGACCGGCAGATGGTGCCTTCCCCTCCTCCCCCGGCTGCTGAGGTGTGAGGAGGCGGCCCGGAGCCGGTGCCCACCCTCCCCCTCGCAGCGCCGGCGGATGGTGCGGTCCGGACAGCGGTGGCGCGGCCGCCGAGTGATGCGGGGGGCGGCTTCTGTGCCTGTGCCGGCGGCGGCGGGGGGAGCAGCAGGGGCGGGGGGAGCAAACCGCTGGCGGAGGAGCGAGGAGCGGGTCTCGGCTCCGCGCAGTAGCGCCGGCGGCGGCCGTCGATCCCCCCCTTTCTCCTCGTCTCCCCGCTGCGGCTGCTGGAGCGGAGCCGCTCGCGCTCCCCCCTCGCTGCGCCGCCGCCGCCGCCGCCGCTCCAGGGGCTCCGGGGCTGAGCGCGGCGCCCTGCGGGGGGAGCGGGCTGCAGCCGGGCAGCGCGAGCCAGGCGGGAGCCGGGAGCAGCCCGGAGGCTGCTGCTACCCGCATGCCAGAGGCTCCCCGGGAGGAGGACGAGGCCCCCGAGCTGTGAGCGGCGGAAGCAGGCGGCACCGCTGGCCATGGCCTCCAACTTTAACGATATCGTCAAGCAGGGCTACGTGAAAATCCGCAGCAGGAAGCTGGGGGTGAGCCGGTTGCTTTCTTTCCGCCGGTCCTTCTCGCGCGCCTTTCCCTGGCACTTGCGGGGGGTCGGGAGGCAGGAGTGGGCACCTACCCACACCTCCTTGCCGGGGCTGGCAGGCAGCATGCTGCCTGGGTGGGTGAGCAGGGCTTGCTCCCAGCTCCGCAGAGAAAGTGGCGGTGCTGGGGACAGCGGGGGGAAGCAGGGACCTGCTGCTGCTGCCTCGACTTTGCTTTCCCTTTACTTAGGTTGGAGGAGGGCTTTGCGTTGGCTGTGTACCTTACAGACAGTCTCTTCCCCCCAGTGAAGGCACCGTTTTTTCCTGTTTTCCTTGATGATTGACTTGTTTGGCTAATAGAGGTGATTGAGTTTTGTAATTTGATGGGAGCCTCTTTTTCCCTGTCGCGGTGTCTCAAGCTGGTGAGGAAATTTCCCTTTGGGTGTTTCTTCCCCCATCCACTCCCCGTTTAAAGCTTCCACTTGAACCGGGGGGGAGGAAGTCTCTGCAAACTTTTGCCAGAGATCCCCTTTCTCCGTTAGAGGAGGGATGGCTCCAACAGAAGGAAATGATGGAAAAACCCGAGACTTTTGAACGGCTCCATAGCAGCCTGGCAAACCAACTGAGGAAGCAGCGAAGATTGGTGCAGGAAGAATTATGGCTCTGGGCCGGAGGAGAGGAGCAAAGTAGCTGGACTGGGGGGCTGAGAGGAGTGTAGGAAAATTGGGGGCGAGGGGAGTTACATCTGAATGGGCAGACCGCTTGGAAGGGGAATTGAAAGACTGACAGACACACTGGTTGACAACCGCCAGTGTGTGCAAATATATATGCCAATGGATAGGAAAAAGCGGCCGAAACGGTGTAACCCAAAGCGGTAGTCAGAGTCACTTTCAAGAGTGTACACTAGACAGGTAATGCTTACTCTGCTAGTCCATAAAAGCTTGCTCTGAAGGGCAGCGATACAGCGACCCAGACAGACAGAAACATCAACAGAACGGACAGAACTTTCCAAACTTCAGACACTTCTAAACGCTTCAGAACTTTCCCTTTTCTCTGTGTGTGTGTCTTGCGGGTGCTGGAGCAATACGAATTGAAAGGCCCTAATGAACTCCAGCCGAAATCATGATTAGTTTGCTTTTGTTTGAATGCATGAGCCAGAAGAGCTTTTATGATTTTATTAGGAAGTTCAGGGAGAACATTGCCAGTTTACGGGAAGCAGTGTGATTAGTCCCCAATCCAGGAGTTCCTTCAATTCCTACACGTGTTTGTAGACAGGCAGGTGTTTGGAGTAAAGGGAAAGGGGTTCAGTTGATAGCACCGGTGCTTGTTTGCTGCTAAGAAAGGCTCCTCCTGAGAACAAGGTGCAGACAACGTGCTGAGAAGGGGCAGTAACAATTCTGGTCTCCGCTCCCTAGGTGCAATGAAGAATTAACTTCTCCATTGACTTCAGTGGCGTGAGTTCGAATTCACACCCGAGTGACTCAGAGCAGAATCCTACTAGGTGCTCAGAAGAGACACTATGGTGGAGCCTCCCGCGTAATGGGCTGCTTAGCCAGGAAGGCGAAGGGAATTTAAACCAAGCCGGCGGTGTGTCGGCTGCGGAGCCGGGTTTGAATCAGGCAGGCAGTCACAGCAGAGGGCAGGGAGGAAGGTGCAGTCTCAGGCTCCAGCTCTCATGTCAAGGGCTTTTTCTCGAAAGCATGAGCCGTGTTTCTGCATCATATTTCCCTCTTCTCGACCCCAAAGCCAGATAAGGGAGAGGTCGTATGAAATCTGCAGCTCTACAAGTAGCTGGGAGCTTATCGCAGAGCTAATCTCTCTCGCTCTCCCGGATGCGATGCTTAGCTTGCAGACGCGGTGCACAGGGCAATGGAAATAATCATAAATTGAGGGGGTGAGGGGCAGCTCAGTGGTTTGAGCATTGGCCTGCTAAACCCACAGTTGTGAGTTCAATCCTTGAGGGGGCCGTTTAGGGATCCGAGGCAAATGTTGGGGGTTGGTCCTGCTTTGAACAGGGGTTTGGACTAGATGACCTCCCGAGGTCCCTTCCAACCCTGATATTCTATGACCTTTGGGACACTTTTCTGTCGTGACAGGGATGTTCCTTCCCAAAGGACACAGCAGAGTTTGGTTGGAATCCCACCTACAGCCGACTCCCCTAGCCTTCAGATGGGAAATGTTAGGGAAATTATCTTAAGTACAGCGAGCAATCACGCCTCTCCCCCACCCACCCCCCTTCCAAAAATCATGATTTGTACGGTCAAGCGTTAGTTGGTGTCAGAAAGCTATCTCTGAACCTTCGTGGCGTGTGTTAACCCTTAGCTTCTGAGTCAGTAGTGGTATTATGGGGGACTGATCCAAAGCAATGAAAAGATTGAATCCGGGCAGTATCACAGCACGTTAGGGCTCTTAATTGGAGGCAGAATTGTCTTGTTGACTTACCTTCCGAAAATAATTGGCCGTACCTCTAAATATGTACAAATTAAAGGAAGAGTATATGCAGTAAACATATAATGGCTGCATTATTAGCAGGGATCACACAAGGTTAATGTAAACATCCACAAGTGACACATATGAAGACAGGAATTTCATCATGGCATAGCTTATATGGTTGAAGTACTTTTAGAGCTGTAAATCTGACGTGTGGCTGATAACAATGGAGTGTTCTTCAGAACTACACCTTATTCATGGTAGCTGGGCTGGTGTGCTAGAGAAGGTAGACTAGACCATCTCTGTAGTCTCTCTGGAAAATTGTCTCCTGTTGAAAAGATGTAGGGCGTGAGAGTTCAGATTTCACACCTCAGGTAGATGTTAGTTTAAGCTTATATGTGGAAAGTAGAGATGCAGATGTGAGTAAACTAAATATATCACATATAATGTACAAATGCATATTATTGTGTAAAAAAATAGCATCAAAAATCGTGAGATGCTGTGGTTGAAATGTATGAATGTGTGTGTATTGTCTATAGCTAATCAGATCCTATCCTGCCTGAATTTTCTAAATGAATGCAAATTTTATTCAGAAAATGAAACATTAAAGATTCAGGTTCCTTTCCTTATATAGAAGTATATTTCCAAATGAATGAGAGAGTCTGACTGTAGTATTTTACAGTTAAGCCTTAAAAAAGTGTACTAAAGCCTGTCTTCCTGTAGGTGAATAAATCCTCTTTAGGGGATGTAATAACATGAATTTTCTCATCATCCAAGAAAATAAATAATGAAATAGAGGGTCTGTATGTTGGAACTTGTTGCCTAGATAATTCTGAAATATGTAAAGAGCATTTTATCTCATTAGGGTATTTCTTAAATTATTTAATTTCCCTAAAATTTACATACATTCATTTTCTATTATAATGATCTAAATTCTAAGAATGTTTTCCTGTAGCCTGTAAAAGTAGATCAGAACTGGGAGAGCCTAGATGGCTAATGCCACTTTAATGCCAAACCTGGGCTATAAAGCTTCTTCTACCCTCTAGGCAGGTGGCCAACCCATTACAAAGGTTCTTCCAGTGCTTTTGCTATATTCAGTCTTGTTTTATGACTGAGTGAGCCCTGGCTGGGAACCAAACTAAAGATATTGTGTTCTAATGCAACCTGTGGAGTGACAGTCTGATGTTCAGGTGGGTGAAACAGTGCTATAGTACAAACAGAGGAAGTGTAATTCGTTTTTGAAAAACAAATTAATCTTAGGTTTGGAGTGAAATTTTGGTAGAATATATAGTTTCTGGAAACTAAAGCCATCTTATCACAACTTATGAATTTCACAGTTCTTAGAAGAAAAATGTCTCTTTATGAGTGCTTTCATATAAAATATGATACATGAATCACTATTTTATTAAAGGTATATTTTGGTTTAATTCTTAATGCCATGTAGTCCATTGGTTAATCCCTCTCTACACAGGGATATAGTTGAATTTAGATTTCAGTATAGGAAGTTCTCTCTTTGTTTAACATTCTCAATAGCAGCATCCATTTTTAAGTTGTGATTATTATACAAGTATATTCTACTCTTTTTCAGGGAAAGTAGGAGAATTATTATTCCTTGCAATCAACACTGTAGCCATGGGTTAATGATTTCATACCAAAATGATTATTTCGGATTAAAGAAAGGGCCCAAGTCCTGATGGAAATAAATGACAAAACATCTTACCAGGCTTGATAATGACTTGTTTCACAGTGGATCTACGTGATGTACCGATTATCTTTATTTTGTTGTCTCTTCGCCTCCCCCCACCCCCATTAACCAAGCACCAGTCTAACACTAGGCTTACATCTTAATGGGTTTGTGTGTACTTTTTTTGCCATCCAGCAATTTTCAAACTGACCCCATTGTGTACACTATTTCTTTACGCAGCTGGTAAAAATAGCTCCTTCTGATCCAGAATCAGAGACAATAATATCACAGAGAGAAACCTTACTTGCAATTCTGTTTTTGTCAAAGTCTGTCAACTGCCACCATTGGGAATATAATTTAAGCTGCTGCAGAAGCAGCAGGATGTGGAAGAAATTTACCCAACTAGTTTAACTAGGGTGACCAGACAGCAAGTGTGAAAAATCGGGACTGGGGTGAAGGATAATAGGAGCCTATATTAGAAAAAGACCCAAAAATCAGTACTGTTCCTATTAAATGAGGACTTCTGGTCTGCCTAAATTTAACCCACCAAGACTCGAGTTACTTTCATTAATTTAAACATTTTAAAAAGGTACACAAAGTATTTTAGAATGCCCAGCAACTTGAAATGCGGTCTATTAAAGTCTGTGCACGAAAATATCCTAAATATATGCACATCAATTACAGTCTTTTATAAATATCTGAACTCCCACAAATTTGGAATCTATAGTCAGTAAGGATAATACTTGTAATTAAAGCATTTTTTTAAAGATCTGGATTCCCAGTGGCCTAAATATGAGTGTCTTTTCAACTTTCTAACATTACCACAGTGTTTGATATTTTGCATTTCTCTAATATTACATAAAGGAAATACCTCATTCTGCAGCCGTTACAT